ATTGAAAAATTGTCTAACAAAAAAGATCCAACTGCTAGACGCTGGTTCCAGTAAGTGATAGCGTTGGAAAGCATTCGCCGAGGTGATCACAAATATACGTAAGTCGTTAAATCTCCCGAACGCTGGTATGATATATACAATTGTTCATTTTGAGCTGAGGGCCCCGTAAATACAGAAATTGATAAGATCGCTTCTCACTTCCACACTTTCGCAATACGCATGCGCGTGTTCCCAACTATTTTATCATATTTTATCACGTTTATTGTGTATGACGTTTTCAATAGTGAAGTTGAGTTTGTTATTTGACCTATATAAAAGTACTATACAAAAAGTAAAGTACAATTATATATTTTAGACTTGGTATTTCTTTTAATTATATTTTATAATATCTAACCTTTACAATACGTGCTATGACTCCGCGTGCATACGTTCCCCGCATGCGCAAAGTACATGAATTGTGGAAGCGAGAAGTCGATTTTCTATCTCACTATCTTGGCACATCCCCCACTCTCAAAAAGAGACTGCGTTAGCAATATAGTAGTATTACATATATTGGGTCATCTAAAAAGTATCCGCGATTTTTTGTCACTAGATGGTCAACACATCTAGTGACAAAAAACCGGGGATACTTTTTAGATGACCCAATATGTACCAACATATACCTGTCTCATTTCCAAAAGTGTACACTAGTTCAGCTACAGAAAACAGATCTAAAGTTTGCGCGGTTCCTATAGGCTGTGATCAAAGACCGGTATTCAGATCTTATATTCAAGACCGTCTTAAGTATGATCTTAAGAAGTCACAAATCAATCAGAAGGCTGCATTAACAGTCTTAAAGCGTCTTAAGACGGTCTTGAAATAAGACTCGAATATCGTCTATGAATACCTGCCAAAGTCTCGCCACAAATGCTTTGAAGCATTTGAAGCATGGACTAATTAGAAGAAAGAATTTTACAAATTGACCAGTTAAAAAACGCTTTAAAGCGTTTGCAGCATTGCGTTGACCGTACTCATAATTACCTAGTTATGGCTTCTACACATTGGACACGGAAACGCTTACCGCGCGGCAAAATGTGATGCGGTAGCCAATAAGCTTACAGTTCCTAATGTGTTCATTGATTGAAACAACCAATTAGCACTATTCGGAATAACGCAGAAGAATGCTGATTGGTTGCTTCTATGACGCATTCTCTGTTCCGCAGTCGTTTTCTCTTTTCCGCACCGTGTGATTTCACCCTTAGTTTTTGTACCGCGTACCGCATACTGCGCTACATGTAATCGCATCTTCACACAGTCCTCGACTGAATACAGATGTGAAGTGTTGTACTGTTGTGTCGACGATAACGGACAATTGGAACGAAACTTGTGTTGCTGTGTACACGAAAGTGTCTAGGGATATTGCAATTGGAAAGCACCCCTGTTATCCCTTGCACCTTGCATGGGACTCTAGCCTAGTGAAACTCTCATTTATTGCGCACTCAGTGTGCACTAGTATGGCTAGCGATATATGTTGACAATTATATTGTATTCTAATCTATTTTGTTGAAAAATATCAACATCACAAGAGTCTATTGAAGTATTTAAATCTTTTCGAGAACAGATTGTTTTAAACAACCCCAGTTTTATTTTTCTCCGGCTTTAAAAAGGAACCAAGGTATAATGAAACATTTATTGTAATATTTGTTATACTATACAGACATTTCATTTCAAAATTAGTGACACAACAAAATTATTTTTCAAAAAAGAGAAAAAATTGTTTTTAACTTTACAGAAAATTATTAATTTAAATTATTAAACTAATCAAATAATATCGAAGTAAACCATATGCTCACAAACATGATTAAATGTTATTTTTATCATTCACATTTTACAACTCTGAAAAATCTGTATCTTTTTTGAGTTGTGATGATTTCGTCTTACAAAATTACAACAAATTTAGGAATAAATTATCAAAAGTGACAACTCAAAATATCATCAAGAATTTATATTTACCTTAATCAGCTAAAAAGATTAAATTTAAAATAACAGATTTTTTTTCAAACTTCGTTAATCAAGTCTTAACTCTAAATGTTCTCTATAGGAGTTCTCTCTTTTTTATTTATAAAAATGACACAACTATATAGGTCTTTTTAAAGAGATCATAACATCTTGTATATAATCATCAGTGAATATATATATATATCTATCATTCTGATATTTTATCCACTGCTGGATATTGGCCTCTTCCAACTTTTTTCATTCCACATGTCTTTGGAAGGAAGTTTATATATATATGTTTATATATATATATATATATATGTGTGTGTGTGTAATATCTTATAGATGTTATGATTTCTTTAAAAACTTAAGTACGATACAGGTATTATTTAATAAATGGATTGTGAAATTAAGTTTATTTTTGATGATTGATAATCTTTGTACCTAACATATTCATGAAAACGACTAAAATATTACAATTTTATATTCATACTTTTTAAGGGAACCATATAAATTGTAGTAGTAGCAAAAACAAATTTTTTTGTGATAATTATTACCCAATATACATAATTATTTATAACCAATGTTGCTAGATCTTTATGTTTCTAATTGATTTCATATTTAAATAAATAGCACAATGGGAGAACGGAAGGGAACAAATTTATACTATCCACCGGATTATGATCCCCGTGCCGGTGGTCTTAATAAATTCCTAGGCACTCATGCATTGCGTGAGCGAGCCCGCAAGATACACATGGGCATTTTAATCATACGATTTGAGATGCCCTACAATATATGGTGCAATGGATGTGGGAATCATATCGGCATGGGTGTTAGATATAACGCGGAAAAAAAGAAGATTGGAATGTATTATAGCACCCCGCTCTATCAATTTCGCATGAAGTGTCATCTCTGTGACAATCATTTTGAAATAAAAACTGATCCTGCTGTAAGTTACAATTAGTTGATAATGCAAATAAATTATTGCTTCTGAAAAATTTGCTAATATTTTTATTGTCTTTTTAGAATCTGGATTACATCATAGTGAGTGGTGCAAGACGTCAAGAGAATCGATGGGATCCTAAACAGAATGAGCAAGTAGTACCTGAAACAAAAGAAGTCTCATGCAGATTGTATGACGATGCAATGTATAAGTTAGAACATGGTATAGAAGATAAGAAAGTAGCCAAATCTCGAAATTCAGCACTGGAAGGTGCAATAGCCTTAAATGAAAATATTTGGAAAGATGATTACAGCTCAAACTGCGCAGTGAGAGCCTTATTTCGGGTACAGTTATCAAATTTAATTTTATACTATATATATGTATATATATATATATATATTATATATATATATGTATATATATATATATAATTTTTTCATTATATTTAATTTAAAAAAAACAAAGTAACTGGTGTAAAAGGAGTAATTGAGAGTTCGGGCGGTAAACAATATGCAAACATTTTAAAAGATAATATATAAGTAATATTATGACAGTTTATAAATTAAATATTATTTAATTTTATTAACAATTTCTTCATCATGTCGCCACTTAATTATGTCGCGTGGATCATTGATGATAGTATTTTTGTTCGCGTATGTTATATATAAATTTGTTTTAAATACATATATTTTATAATAGCTAAAAAAATTATAAAAATTATTATAAAGGTTTATTTATCAATATCGGTATGTCATCATTATGTATATTAAAAATTATTTTATAATTACGTTTCTATTAGGTGTTGGAATTAATTCGTAGCGTTTTTAATGAAAGAATGTTATTTATTTCACATGAGCATTAAAAAATACATTAATGAAAGTACTTCCCATCTCTTGTAAAACGCTACGAATTAATTCCAATACCTAATATTATAAACGAAATATCAAATGATTTGAACGAAAAATCATTGGTATGCATAGAACATGCTAATATGAATTTTTACTGATTGACTTATATACATTTCATATTACAGGATAGAAAAAAGGAACTTCAGAAGAAACAAGCTGAAGATCATGCATTACTAAAAAAGACTGGATTGGATATTAATTTGGTAAATGAACATGAGGATGACATAAAACTAGCAAAATTACTGACTCATAAGAAAGGTATTTATTCAGCACTTAAGCAAACTAAAATGCACATTTTCCTGTTATATATTTATGCTTTCACGAATGTTTTCTTTTTAGGTGCAAGAAAACAAGAAGGTATGGAATTGAAACGGTTAGTTTCGATTATACGATCTAAAAATAAAAAAAAAATATCTTCGAATGACCGATTAAAACTACAAAGCCAGGAATCACCAAAGACAAAGGAAATAACGAATAATGCTACTATCTCCAAAACTAGTAGTTCGAATATATCTCTAGTCAATTATGATAGTTCCAGTACCGATAGTGATACTTAGTATTTTATATATTTATCTTGAAATGTATGTACGATATGTAATATATATTTGTAAATATAACAAATTACGAAAATAAATTTTTCATTAAATACATTAATGTTAGAAATAAAATGCAACACTATACATAAATTACAAAAAATATTTTGATAAAAAATATATTTTGAGAATAATCATAGCTATAATTTTCAAATTACATATTGGATTTCAAATTACATATTTTATTCGAAAGATTGAAAGAAACTATTATACAATTAATAGAGACATGTAATGGCTGCGTTCAATAGAAAAAGTAGCTTTGCAACTGTTGTATGATTCTTTAATAATTCTAGCTTCTATAATTCTTCACTGAATCTAAAAATATAATCAATCCAAGCATCTTCCTGGTTCAAATTGTGTAATTTTTATTTTTCTCTAGATATATAAATCAATTATTTAAAAAATTTACAATTACAAAGAACTGCTTTTTCTGTATCCAATGTTTCTTATAACTACATTGCACTGATTTCATTCTTAAAATACATATATTTTTAAAGGTATATAACAGTGAATAAAGATCTCTCGCAATGATCAAAGAAATTGAAGTTATGTTAGATATCAAAGTTTATAAAGAGTACATTTATTGTTTTGTAGGCTTTATTATTAGGTTTATTATTATATCTAAACATCGATGATAGACTGCTGTTCGACGATCGCTGTAGTCTGAGATAGCAGTTTTCTCTTCACTACGTAAATCTTCTTATTGGAGAGACACACGATGTAACAATGATCCTTATATTTGATTGATATCTTTTCAAAAGGATCATGCAATGGAAATGCTTTAGGATCAACTTTACTTGTCAATGTTATTAAACTAGTGATAATATTTGCCACTCTTTCATCATTTTCTAAATCTCCTCCAGACTGTAACACAAATACAGAAGATTCTATTTGCTATTATGAAAAAAAGAATATTAGAAACTGTCTCTTACTGTTAATACAGCACCATCCTCAGTTAATACTAAATATCCAATTTGATCAGGTATACGCTCCAACGCCAGCATTTTCTACAACAAAAAGCTTATTTTGAGACCTGTTCTTTGTTGTTACATCAGAGTGTATTAAAATTTTCTATCTCAAATTTTAAATATATCTTTCATTTTAAATACAACAAGTGTACATGAGTGTGCACTAATTCAGCCACTAAAGAATAGATTTTTAGTCATGACATGAAATTTTGAGAAAAATAAACAAGAAGATTGATAATGTTAAATAAAAGACATTATTAAGACATAATTATGTCTCTCTCTCTCTCTCTCTCTCTCTCTCTCTCTCTCTCTCTCTCTTTCTCTCTTTCTGTTTCTTAGTTTACTTTGATATATTTATGTATTTTAATTAATTATACGTATCGAGCTTATCCTAACCTACGCAATAGAATAGACAATGAAAAACGAAAAAACTAATCGGCTTACGTGTGATGATAGCGTCAATGAACGATGAAATGTCATGTATACGATAAATTAAGATAAATACACGTCTCAGCACTGACGGAGTAATATTAAAGACGTGTAATAAAAATACGTTCGAAATCTTCCCGGCGAATTACCGAAGACACTCTACTATCTAGCATAATATAAAGTCCATGGTAGAAAAATACAAGACTGCGTTCAAATTCCTCTCCCGGACACCCCCAGAAAGTGTTCAGTTTCCTTTATTGAGCGTTTAGGTGGAACGTTCAGATTTCTATTTTATCCACCCGAAAGGATAAAAAAACCACTCGGGGCCTTCACTTCCTTGAGCTGAGTGATAGTGGCGCATTAAAGATTTCCTGTGCAATCCCAGCATGTTTGACGTGCATCTAAAATTTAAATTTCAGGTTATGTCTGTGTGTTATAAGAGAGAGAAATCTGAGAGAGGACACGACTCAAAACTATAATCGCAAAATGCTGCCGCGCATTATTGCCCTCTGACAAAATGGATGTACCAAATATCGTTTTATCATCTCCAGCCTTGAAAAATGAACATTGTTATGTAGTTTACATCCACTTTGTCAGAGAGCAGTAGTGCGCAGCATGTTGTAGAGAACTACGTTATCAATATCTCACTAGCGCAGCGAATGCAGAAAGCCTAGGGATTTTGTAGGTTGCGAGTTGCCTACAAGCAGCGTCAGGGAAAAATAAGATCAGATAGATTATGGCGCTCATCCTGTACGGTCATATTCATTTTGAACTCGAGTAATAAAGATTCATCGTTACCAGTTACAAGAGAAGTGTCGATTATTACCTCTTATATCACATCGCACGACAAGCGTGGGCTTGTCTTGAGAATTTGACTCATCAATTGAGTCACTTATTCCCACATTGGTGACCCCGACGTGATCGAGAGGAAGAAGCGATTGACCGGTAACCGTCGTTTGAGCAACATCGAAACGAACTGGTTTCGAACCGAGCAGCAGTGCACATCGTCGTAGCTGACAAGGAGGCACATCGCCGACGTTGTGGCCGACAAGGACGCCCACCGACATCGTGAGTAGGAGACCCATCACCGATATCGTAACCGATCGCAAGGCCCCATCGTTGAGGGGCCGGCGGAAAAGTCTCGCCGTCGAAAGCACCGCAGGTGTTGATCATCAACACCATCTAGTGACAAAAAACCGCGGATACTTTTTAGATGACCCAATATTTAAGGCTGTCAGGAAATACGGATTATTCGCGAGCTTCGACACGGTAGACGGGTAGTCATGGCTCCTCCCACCATTGAGGAAATGCAGGAGCAGTGGGCGCAGCTGCAAGCGACACTTCACCAATATCGCGCGCGTGGATTCATATAGAGTCTGAAAATTCCGCCATTCTTAATAAAAAATCCGGTGATACAGTTCATTCAAGTCGAGGCCACGTTCAAGGCCGCACGAATCAGGAGACTAAGGCGCATCACATGATTATGTCTTTGGACGCCGAAGCCATCGCGTGCTGCAGAGAACCCGCATCGCGGAACCCGATGAGAACGAACCATACACCAAATTAAAACAGCGTATTATTGAAAATTTTTCAGCGTCAGCAGAAAGTCAACTGCGACAACTAATAAAACGCCAAGTGCTTACGTCAGAGAAACCGTCGCAGATCCTCAGTCGACTTCGTAACTTGAACTCTGCCACACGATG